TTCGAGTTCAGGTTGCAAAGACAAAGGTAAATCCTTTGTCAAACCACCTCTTCCCAAGAAGACTAACAAGTCAAATAGATCTAAATCTATTTCTTCAGCTTGTAGATGTTCTTCTTCTTCGGGGACCAAGAAATCTGAATCCTCTTAGAAATCTAAGTCTCAGCTCAAGGTGAATGCTTCACCTAAGGACTTCAAATCCTCAAAAGTTCCTCCTAGAACTAATAAGAATAGAATCCTTGGGGCTTGTCCCTCTTCTAATATGGTACTTCCTGACCCTAAAGCTACTTTCAGCTATAGGGAGTGTAAACACTGTGGCAAAACTACACACATTACCAGTAAGTGTCCTTCTTTCGCCTAGGCTGGTCCACCTGCCAAGGGCAAGAAAGTAGCTAAGGCTGATAAATCAACCACTAAGGCTGCTAAAGCAACCATGGTGAAGAAAACCACTGGAGCTTCTTCTTCAGGCTTAGTGAAGACAACTACTAATGTTAAGCCTTTAGTATCAGGTGTTGTAGTTCCCACCACTGAAGCCTATTCATCAGGATCAGTGAAGATAGCCACTGACTTTATCTCTCTAGCGTCAGAGGTTGTTCCTATTTCCACTGAAACCTCTCCAGGTTCAGTGAAGCCGTCTGCTGACGCTGGTTCTTCAATTTCAGTAGATGAAGCCTCAAACATTGCTGAACCCAGATAGAATGGGTACCAAAATCATTTTTAAATGGTTTCCTTGTACAAGAAGTCAAAGAAATATGGCATCTCGATAGTGGATTCTCGTGGCACATGACCTGAGATAAATCCCTGCTCATTGACTACGAAGAAGAAAGAGGACCTTCCATGACCTTTGGAGGTAATGGAAAAGGATATACTAGAGGTTTTGGTGTATTAACCAATGGTGCAACCACATTCAAGCATGTTGTATACGTTGAAGGACTGAAGAACAACCTCCTGAGCATCAGTCAGCTGTGTGACAAAGACTACACAGTGAAGTTCTCCAAGAATTCATGCTACGTCTATGACAAGGATGATAAGGTTTCCTTAACCGGTTCTCGTCTAGAGAATGTCTACATCATCAACATGGATTCTTCTCTCACTGAGAATAGTTGTTTCCTCTCTAAACCTTCGTCAGATATCAACTGGCTGTGGCACAAACGGCTTTCTCACCTTAACTTCAAGACACTCAGTTAGTTGACTAGAAATGATCTTGTCACTGGTCTTCCTCAACACTCCTTTGCATAGGAATCTCTTTAGTCAGCGTGTGAGAAAGGCTGAGATAAAGACAATGTGCTATGAGGAAGGAGCTAGGAAGGCTTGTAAGTTAGAAGAGGAGGAAGGTTTTGAGATAGGTGATGAGACCATTGAGGATTTAAAAGGTGATGTCCCATCTGATGCTGCAGCATTTGAGTTGTTGGATAATAGTGAGCTTAAGAATTTTACCCCGTCTATAATTTCACCACCTGATCTGGAGTTAAAGAAACTCCCATCTTATTTTAAGTATGCATTTCTAGGAGAAGAAGGTAAATTACCTGTCATCATATCATCTACCCTAGATTTACATCAAGAAAAGAAGCTTGTAGATATGTTGAAGTTGCACACAAAAGCCATAGGATGGACCATTGCTGACCTTAAGTGGATTAGTCCTTCTATATGTCAACATAAGATCATCCTAGATGAAAAGAACTTCAAATCTATAAAGCCTCAAAGGAGATTGAACCCGGTCATGAAAGAAGTAGTGAAGAAGGAAATTTTGAAATAGCTAGATGTAGGAATAATTTTTCCAATAGCTGGTAGTTCTTGGGTTAGTCCAATCCAGTATGTCCCAAAGAAGGGAGGGTTTATAGTTGTCACCAATGACAAATATGAACTCATCTCCAAAAGAATAGTGTCTAGTTGGAGGATATACATGGACTACCGTAGGCTAAACAAAGCCACTCAAAAGGACCATTTTCCCTTACCTTTTATTGATCAGATGTTAGATAGGTTGGATGGAAAAGAGTATTATTGTTTCTTGGATGGATACTCCGGATATAACCAAATAGCCATATCACTCGAGGACCAAGAAAAGACCACCTTCACATGTCCCTATGGTAGTTTTGTCTTTAGGAGAATGCCATTTGGACTTTGCAATGCTCCTGCAACTTTTTAGAGATGCATGATGTCCATATTCTCTGACATGCTTGAAAAATCCATAGAAATCTTTATGGATGATTTTTCAATTTATGGTTCATCTTTTGATAATTGTTTGGAAAATTTAAAAAATGAGTCTTGAAAGAGGTGAAGAGACTGATCTGGTTCTCAACTGGGAAAAATGTCATTTCATGGTCAAAGAAGGAATTGTTTTGGGACATTTAATTTCCAAAAGAGGAGTTGAGGTAGACAAAGCCAAGCTTGAAATCATTGAAAAACTACATGAACCAACTACTGTTAAGGGAATACGAAGTTTTCTGGGTCATGCTGGGTTTTTACCGAAGGTTTATAAAAGACTTTTCAAAAATCTCAAAAACCTTTGTGTTTACTTTTGCAGCATGATCAAGAATTTGATTTTACGGATGAATGTAGAATTGCATTCAATACTTTAAAGAAAGCTTTAGTAACTGCACCAGTAGTTGTTTCTCCTGACTGGAACAAACCCTTTGAGATCATGTGTGATGCCAATGACTGGGCTGTTGGAGTTGTCTTATGTCAAAGGAAGGAAAAAGTTTTTCATTCAATTTATTATGCAAGTAAGACTTTGAATGAAGCACAACTTAACTGCACAACAACTGAAAAAGAACTGTTAGCTATGGTTTTTACTTTTGAAAGATACAGATCATATTTGATGGGAACAAAGGCTGTTGTTGTTGATTTCATAAAAAGATGCTAAACCTAGGTTAATAAGATGGGTTTTGTTGTTGCAAGAGTTTGACCTGGAGATAGTGGATAAGAAAGGACTAGACAAGCAAGTTGCAGACCATTGGTCAAGATTAGAGAAGCCTAGGGAGAGCCTAGAAGAAGGAGAGATTGTTGAAACATTCCCTAATGAGAGAATTCTAGTGTTAGAATCAAAGCCACCATGGTTTGCCGACAAAGCAAACTATTTGGCTTGTGGTATAAGACCATCTGATATTTCTGGCCATATGTCCAAAAAGTTTCTCCATAATACGAAATCTTACCTTTGGGATGACCCTTACTTGTTTAAGATAAGTGCAGATCAAATCCTAAGAAGGTGCATCCCTGAAACTGAAGTGGCAGCAATTCTGTAGCATTGCCACCAAGCAGCATATGGAGGACACTTTGGAGGCCAACGAACAGCTGCTAAAGTATTACAATCTGGTTTTTATTGGCCTACTCTCTTCAAAGATGCCCACAATTTTGCACAAAGATGCAATGAGTGTCAAAGAAGTGGTTCCATTTCCAAAAGGAATGAAATGCCACTTAATGGGATCTTAGAAGTAGAGTTTTTGATGTATGGAGGATAGACTTCATGGGACCATTTCCCCCATCAAATCATTGTCAATACATTCTAGTGGCTGTTGATTACGTGCCTAAATGGGTAGAGGTCATGGCTGGTGTTAATAATGATGCTAAAACTATGGTTAAATTTATTCAAAAACAGATTTTTACAAGGTTTGGTACCCCAAGGGCACTAATTAGTGATGAAGGTACCCACTTTGTAAATAACCTGTTGAATGGAGTTCTTGAAAAGTACAACATTAACCATAGAATAGAAAATGCCTACCACCCGCAAACCAATGGATTAGCTGAACTCTCAAACCGATAAATAAAAGGAATTTTAGAAAAGGTTGTCAAGCCAAACCGAAAGGATTGGGCTTTCAAGTTAGATGACGCTTTATGGGCATACTGGATTGCTTTTAAAACACCTATTGGTATGTCCCCATATAAGCTGGTTTTTGGTAAGGCTTGTCACCTCCCTTTGGAACTAGAACACAAAGCATTTTGGGCCATCAAAGAATTAAATATGTGCCCGGATATGGCTGCCAACAAAAGAAAAGTCCAACTGTGTGAATTGGATGAACATAAGAATCTGTCCTATGAAAATGCCAAGATTTATAAAGATAAAACAAAAAAATGGCATGATAAAAGAATTCAACACCGGGAGTTGAGAGCTGGTCAAAAAGCCCTTTTGTTCAACTCTAGGTTAAAACTGTTCCCAAGAAAGTTCAAGTCCCGTTGGTCTGGACCATTCCTCATTCATAAAGTCTATCCATATGGAGCAGTTGACCTAATCAATCCCGAGGACAATTCTGTGTTCAAAGTTAACGGTCAAAGAATGAAGTTATTTCATGATCCGGTAGAAATTCCAGAGTTATGCTCTGTGAATTTTGTTACCCTTTGCTAAAAGCTTCTGTATTTTTGGACTTTTTATAAGTCTGAAATGTTTGTGTGTAAATATTTATGTTTGTGTTAAATTATGTTTTTAATAGTTATTAATATTATTATTGTTGTTATTTATTATGTGTTTTGCAGTCTTGTCAATCATTAAGAGAAAGTCTGAAGCCTTGCTGCAGCATCTGAAAAACCCTAGCCTTTAATAGAGAATCTTAGAAAAAAATTTAAAGTCTGAAAATTTTGAGAGGGAAAAAGCATGATGTCATTCTTAAAAATATTTTTTAAGGAAAGAAATAGTCATCTTTTATTTACCAACAAAGAGTGGTACAAGATGTAAGGAAAAGTACTTCTTTGTTTTTGAAAAGACATCTTGTTACCACCTTTTCAAACACATCTCCCCAACTTGTCAAGTAATTAAAACTCTATTGTGACTAGTGTTTGAAAACTTGTTGGTTGAAAAGAGAAGAGACCTCCATCAAGTACTCTCCCCTTTTGCATGCTTTCAAGGATGACATCACGGTACATCACCTACTTCCCATTTTACCCTTGTCTTTTGTAAGAAAACCATTTGTCTTCCTAAGAAAACCCACTTTCTTTTCTCTCTTCCCTCCCAAACCAACTGTCTCTCTCGACCGATAACCGCATCTCCCAACAACCAACCAATGTTCGAATCAATGGCAAGAGTGAAGAGGGCTCTGGTTCGCGACCCACCACCGTTGCGTGCAGCCGAACCGTCGCCGACACAACCGTCTGACCCGCCACCGTCGGTGGCTAATGCCGCTGTGCGCACTCCTGTTTCTTCGCGAAGACAGCCGACGAGAAAGGGAAAGAGACTCCCCATTGCAAAGAAGAAAAAGGGCGAGTCTTCCACTATCCTTGTCGATGAAGACTTGCCATCACCATTGTCGTCGCCGTCTGTGCCACCGTCGCCGTCTCTACCACCGTCGTCCACTCCAGTCGCCGTCGATACTATTCCACCAGAAGTGCCCATAGCCGCTCCTCCTCTACAAATAATGCCCTCTGCTGCCATTGTCCCATTTACAGACCCTCTAAAGAAAGCAAAAGAGATGGTGAAGTCATCTACTCTTCCACTGTCAAAGGAATCCCCAACTTCATCTCCGACCACCAAAAACAGGGAAATGCCCGAAACTTCTCAAAAGGTACATTCTTCATCTGATAGTACACCCCCTAATGGTCTATTCACTTCTGATTCTGAAGAAGATGAAGACCTTGCCTCTAAGGCACAAACAAGGGAGATTTTTATGGAAAATGAGGATTACAACTTGGAGAACATTATGTATTTGAAAAGCCTAGGAAAACTCTCTTCTTGACTACCTCTGGGCAAGAAACTGACGAAGAGGATGTTTTGCCTCATATCACTCCTCATAACCCAATTCTCGACCTCAATGAGGAATTTTTTGGGGAAGAGGAGGAAAAACCCCCATTGAAGCTTTAACTAAGAAAAGAAAGAGGTTGGTTAAGGCCTATGATAAAAAGAAGTCTAAGACAGTAGTTGATGAGGAACCCCCTAGGAAGAAGACCAGGTCTCAAAGGGTTGTGGTTGAGTCACCTATGAACTCTGAGACTGATGTTGTAGCATCACAATAGCATTCATCCAAACCAAAGAGGAAAAGGGTGGCTATGGCCCAAAGGCCAACCACCATTCCAAGGCCAATTAGACCCCACAATGGTTTTAGTTCCAAGGCTGCTGAAAAGATGCATGTTAGATTTCAAAACAGGGTTGGATTTCCAGACAAGGGATTTAATAGGCAAAGTGTTAGAGAATTTGCATTCATAAGAGAGGTGGTAGAAGCCCATGGAATAGAGCAGATGTGCATGGTCCCAACTTCCTATAATCTGACTTTAATTAGAGAGTTCTATGCTGAGTTGGCTGCCAATAGCACATCCAAGATCTTGATTAGGGGAATGTCTTTCATTTTCAATTCTAAAGCCATCAATAGGCTTTATAGCTTGAACCCTCCTAAGAAGACAAATTATTCTAGAATGGTGAGGCATGCAACCATAGAAGATTTGGCAAAAGTGGCTGATGAGATAGGGAAACCTGGGGCTGTTTGGGATGAGCACTCTAACTACATGTTGAGGACTTTCAAGGCCTATAATCTTACAGCCAATGCTAATGTGTGGATTAACTTTTTGAGGCACTCCATTGCCCCCACCACTCATGATAGCTCTGTATCGGTGGAGAGGATGTTGTTGCTTTATTGATTAGTTACAGGAAAGTCCATCAACTTTGGAAGAGTGATTGAAAAGAGCATCCGGACATGCTCAGGAAGGAGTAGAGGGAAGATGTATTTCCCTTGTTTGATCACACAACTGTTGGTTGAGAATGGTATTCCTCAATACTGTGCGGATCAGATGGTGAAGGAGCAAGGAGAGAAATGGAAGATTGATATGAAAATAGTTTCTAGGTTGAGGGAGAAGAAGGACAAAGGGAATGGAGCTGGTGATATGTTATGTTTGATGGAAGACCTGCTGGATCAAAACAACAGTTTTATGGATAGTTTGTTAGAGCAAAGAAATGAATTCTTTTATAAGATAGACAGGTTGAAGGGAGAATTGGCTGAGAAAGTGAAGGCAGCCGAGAAGAAGACTAAGGGAGACATCAAGTTGGTGTAGGTTGAGTTAGAAGCAAACACAAGTGCTCAAGTCAAGAAGTTGGGAAAGAAGTTGAAGGCCTTGAAGGAAGAGAATGCAAGGTTGTTTGGTGAGAATGCTAGGTTGAAGGAAGAATGCAAGAAGTTGAAGGACAACATCTCCACTTCACCTACTCCTATGGAGTAGAATAGGTTCTATTATCCCCTCTTTAGCTTCTTTTGTTATTTTATTTCAACTTGTTTTAATTTACTTGAGTCTGGGATTGTCTTTTACATTTTCTAGCTTATTTTCTTACAAAGAACACATATGTTTATAATTGTCATATGCATGTATAGCTACAATAATTCTTATACTTTACCTACACTTTCTAATCATATGGTATCACTAGAACTAGCTTGTTTTGCTTGGGAACATATTTTGATCCACATCATATGCTCAACTAAGAGAGGATATAGACCATTTGTTCTTTTCTCATAATCTAGCCACTTGTAGCCATTGCATAAGCAGCCCCCCTATACACTTCCAATGAGGACATTGAAAAATCTGAGTTTGGGGGTGGGTACCAACATCTTTATATTGATCAAAGCAATGCGAAAGAGCACAAAGTACCAAAAGTGGAGATCAAAGTGCACAAAGTGCATAAAGCTTCAATGTCATATTTGAGATCTAAAACACCACAAATGTCCCATAGGGGTAGGTGTAAACACCAAAAATGTCCCATAGGGGCAGGTGTAAATGCATTCAACAAAAGAGCACAAAGTGCCAAAAATTGAAAAAATTCATTGTTGATGCATAAAAGTGAGAAAAGGCAAAGAGAGGAAAAGAACATGCCAAATGAGAGTAAACCAGTTACTTCCAAGCCCTATTGATCTTAGACATATGATGTGTTGASCATAACAAAGAGCAAATAAAGCTAGCTTATGGTTCATGCTAATGGTTAGATAGAATATGCTTACTTGATATTTATGAAACCTATATAGTGCATTTTGGCATAATCAACATGTGTATGCACTTACTGCATTTTCTTGCAAAATTTTCAAAAATCGAGTCATTTTTAGTTGTCTTTTGGTTGCTTGGAGACAAACAACAGTTTAAGTTTGGGGGTGTGATACGCACTAAGTATTTAGTGCTTAAAGCACCATTTTATTCTCTTTTAGATAGGTTATTTTCCATTTATATCCCAACTTTGAGTCATTTTATCTATTTTCTCTATTTTATGCTGAAGTGAATGATGAACATGTTTTTGTTGGATAATGGACTAAATTGAACTTATTTTGGAAAGGTTGAAGCTGGTTGATGCTGCAGAAATGTGGCAGCATGACCTGATGGTGGAGAAAGAGATGGATGAGACTTGGAGTTGACCGACAAGACCATGGATGACTTTTGAAAGGCTTATAAAGTTGAAACAACTGTGTTATGTTCAGATTAGCTAGAGCTTATTAAGACTAATTTAGTTACTTTTTAAATATTGGTTTGCTTTAATGTACTTTCTAGTTTCTTTTGAACTAAGATGGTGTGAAATGTCCATTTTACCCCCATCTAATCTCAAGTATAAAAAGGGATGATGGGTTTAGTTTTCCATACACCTCAACACTTCTACACCACACTTCTCTCTTCAAGTAGGTTGATATACCACTTGAAGAACAAGTTTCTTAATATTAAGTAGTCTTTTGGCATTTCAAGTTTCTTTAATCGCTTTATTTATTTTCTCGTTCTTAATATTCCGTCATTTATTTATTTACGCTTACTTGCATTTTATTTACGTCATTTATTTATTACGCTTTCTATATCTTTTATATTCCGTCATTTATATTCCGTATTTACTTTCCGCATTTATTTTATGTCTTCACTTATCGTAATTTATATTTCCTGTCATTTACTTTTTGTCATGAGTAGCTAATTTTATTAGCTCGGGTGTATGACGAAAAGGGTGAGTTTGTAAATCAAATATAGTCGACCCTTTCATGTAACAACGATGTTTTACTTCTTCATTTCAAGTTTTATAAAACCAATGACACTTCTTGATGAGTTGATCACTTTGAAAGTGTTAAAGTACCGTGGACTCTAAGCTGAGCCATTGATTGCACGTCAACTTAGATGATATGGGAAGTAGACTTGAGAGAGTTGCTAACAAAGAGATTTGTTGTCCGTATTTTCTAAGTTGTTAATTCTCGACGGGTTGATCACTCTGAAGTGTTAAAGTGGAATGAATTCAGAGATGAGCCATTCAGAACACGTTAACTTGAATGATATCGGAATCCACTCAAGAGAGTGATTTTTAACAAAGAGATTTCTTTATCCATATATTTTGAAGACACCATTTGTCACTTTCACTGGTCTGGATACCTCATAGAGATATGGGTTGAAGGCTATAATATCAGTGCATTGGTGAAGTCCGAGAGCAATACCTTCAAAGTAAGTGGTGAAAATAGTTCTTACTGATTGAATGTTACAGCAATTTGTCAGCATAGTTTCATGTTGTAGCATTTTGATAGCATTGGTCGACTGGAAATAGTGTTTACATCTCACCCGAAAAGTCATACACCCTAGCTTGCTTTTATTATCTGTTATCTCCTGTTAATTTTTAGTTGTGTTAACTCTGTTCAATTCAAAATCTTCGAATTTGCCTTCTGAAATCATCTCCTTAACTTTACTTTCTTCTAAACTTTTACTATGATCCCTGTGAACGATATATGGTACTTGTTCCACTTTTATTACTTGAAAGACGATATTGGGACTATTTGTATACTTGCTTTTGGTCCTGATTGTTGTTTGTGGTGTGTTAGCTTTAACGCCATCACTTATCGTCACTTCACGCGCTTCATTAAGTTGAGCGCGGTCATCAGTGGTAAAGGAAGGAGTAGGCACTGGTACTAGCCGATTGAGAGTGACCAGAAGTTGTTGCAGCAGCTCCACTTGTTGGATATTTTGAGCATGTGTTTCATCGGCCTTGCTCGTGAGAGCAGCGATGGCTTCAACATTTTCTTGAACGGCCTCTTAGAGAGAGGAGAGCTGGCCTTTCACCTCTTGGACTTCAGCCCTGATGGCTGATAGGTCAGCAGTGACTTCGTCCTTGCGAGACATGTCCTTATGGACCTTGTCCATTTTGATAAGGACAGTCTCAACTGCTGGGAGGATAGCTTTATGTATGTCGCCATATTGTATTCTTTTTCATCCACGGATTGGGCCTTAGAAGGACCAGAACAGGAGTGAGAATGAGCATAAGGAAGCTTAGGGTTAGAAGGATGAAATAGGTAGGAAGATGGAGTACCTGAGGGGTCTTCAACATTATCTAAAGGATTAAAACTAGTTGGCTCCATCGTGCACTCGAGAGGATGGGCACCAGTATTCTGAGGAGCTTCGAGAGGAGCTACCTCAGGTCCAGTGGTGACTGTCTCATTATCAGGGAGGACTTGCACTAATGATTCATGGACACGTGTTGATACTAATAAAGGAGGGGAGGAAAAGATGGCTAAGACAGTAGGTAGTGAGTGTTCAACAGTGGCGGCCCTGATATTCACACCATTTAGTGATTTGGGTCATTGAGGCGGTTAGGTGAGGAGTCACTGGTATGCCAGTGATATCAAATATCACTGAGGAGCTGGGATGGTAAACTAAAATTGCCTCGGGGTTAACGCTTCTTTCAATAGATGAGACATTTTGAGAGGTCACAGCCAGAGATGAGGTACTCCCCTTTTTGGCCTTCTTGGTTCTC